AAAGTAATTTTATGGTAAGATACTTGTACTTTTACTCAAGTATCACTTTGTGGTACTTTATACAACACTGAGAAAGACTTCAGAGGGCCTGAAACCATTAATGCTGAGTCAGGTCTTCTGGATGGACCACCCTGACCCTCAGTGRCCCTCACATGTTGTTTTCTTGTTTCTGCAGCAGACAGACCTGGCCCAGTACATGAGCCAGCATCCTGGAGGTCTGCACTGTCACAACGTGCGGGTACGTGCAGCAGGTAAACTCAGCTCTCAGCTCATGTTTGGACTGACGCTGCTGTTTGGTTGCAGATCTTCATGTTCCAGCTGCTGAGAGCTCTCACATACATCCACAGTCTCAGGATTCTGCACCGAGACCTGAAGCCTCACAACCTGCTCATCAGTTATCTGGGAGAACTTAAACTGTCCGACTTCGGTGAGGAGCGCCCCCTGCAGGTGAATCTCAGCAGCACAGAGAGCTGTCTGCACAGCTTTTCATTYTGATCTGGGTTCAGGTCTGGCTCGGTCCAAGTCTATCCCCAGTCAGACCTTCTCGTCTGAAGTGGTGACACTGGGGTACCGTCCTCCGGACCTTCTGCTGGGATCTACAGATTACTCCACAGCTCTGGACATGTGGTCAGTGCTGCCTCAACACCTCCGAACCTGCTGCCTCGTTCTTCCTGAGATGATGGTTACAGTTTGCTGTGTTTGAACCAGGGCGGCGGGCTGTGTCTTCATAGAGATGCTGCAGGGTTCCCCAGCATTTACAGGAGGTTCTGATGAGCTGGAGCAGCTGCAGAACATCTGGATGGTCAGCTCCAATCACTGTGGTGTTGTAAACATCTGCTCATATTTACTGTACTTACAGAGAACCAGCTCTCAACACDAACATGTCAGAACCTTACAGACAGTCCAGTTCTTCTGCTTTCATTTAACAATAATTAGATTTAAAACTCAGCGTGGYTCATTTCAGAACTTTATTCACTTTAAAAAATAAATAAATTCTGTACACAATAAAAAATACAAAAAGAAAGGCAACAGAAAGAARAATCTTTGAATTTGAGTTTGGAAAAAAGGCCAGATAAAAGATTTTTCTTAAACAATATTAATCTACAAATAAAAACAAAACATGGACATTATTATTTCCTTTATTC